CTTATAATTTATATTGTCCTTTTGTCAGTGTGTTCTAGGTTTCGGCCCGAGAGACCTGAAGCAATAATAGAGTCTTGTCCTGCAGGCTTAGTTTTACACAAATATGTTGAAGACCGTTTCGTGAAATCGAGAAGTATACCGATACCTTTTCGAATGCATACACCCAGAGTTAAAGTAAAATAGGATAATATTTCATGGTAATATGTTACGCTTTTTTTCTCTCTGGCCCTATTGTATAATAAATTACCGTTAAAAGTTAAGAAAACAAAGCGATTATACACACATCGCTTAATACGTCAACCTCAATTTTCGTAAGAACTTGAGAAGGATTTTGTTGAAAATTCGAAGAAAGAAATAAATGTTAACAGTTCGAATGAACGAAAAGAAAATTTTTGTGCGCTCACTGTATCACGTGAAAAACTGCAGATCCGGCGAAAATCGTATCTGGCGAGTCGGAATCCGGGCAGCGGTGCGCAGAGACGCGCGCAAAATTTTCGTAAGATCAATCCTCCCCGGCCATCTAGAGGAGGCGAGAGTGAAAAAAAAAGGGCATTTCTGCAGTGCTCAAAAGTGACAACGAGGCGTTTTAAAAGGCCACCCATTCGCCGGGCTAAGATGTAACATAACAAACAGCCCGGAGGAAACGTATTTGCCCCGGGGGCGATATCGAGTTCCCGGGCACTTCCTGCGCTTCTTCATCATCGTTTTCTTCTTCGTGGCGCCGTTGCAGTCGGCGGCTTGACATCCCACAGATTGACGAGCGCCACCCCCGAAGACAGCAGGAATAGAACGGTTCACGAGCGTGCATTTAGTCGCGAGCGTGACTTTTTTTTGCGCCGCGCCGTCCCGCAGATAGCGCATACGAAAATACATCGCGCGCGACAATAGACTTCATTCATATGGGGTAACGTGAGGGGGAGTTCGTATAGTTACCACTATTCACACGTCACAAGTGTCAAATTAAAAATGTTTATCGTACAGCACGATCGCTGTACAGAATGTGCAGATGACGCTTCATTTTACGCGGCGATTAATGCGCTTCCAAAAATTACAATATCCAAATTCGTTCGAATTTAATCTACTACCGTGAGAACAGAGAGAAAGAGAGAAGAGAAAAAGAGAAACCGAGAGAAAGAGAGGGAGAGAGAGAGAGGGGGGAGAGAGAAGGGGAGGGAAGGAGGGGGAGAGAAAAAAACTAAATATCCATCGTAAAATAGAAACGATATATCTGTGATATATCCTGCCGCGTATTGTAACTCCGAATTCGCATTTATATACGTGATTCCCCGTCTCCCCTCCGCGTGATCGCCGTTATACGATTTGCCGCTATATTTTTTTCGTAACAATAACTGGAGAATAATTCTCGCTGCGGGTAAATTCATTATACTTAAAATCGTCGATACATCTCATGCCCATTTACTCCGTGATTACGTATCTTATGCACGAACGGGTCGGTTGCCCAGCTGCACAAATTCCCCGCGGAACTCACAAAATCGCCAACGGTTCGTGGAATTATCGCCGCATTACGGTGCATTCTTCCCGCGCATTTCGGGCGAAATTCAACATTACATACATATGTCGCGGCCGGCGCGATCGTTTTGCTGCGGCGTTTTGGTCGACCGGCTTTGCTGCGCGGGCACAAAATTACGGCGGAGGCGTCGGCTGTTAAAAGCGCGATATAAATTCGGAATAGCGCGTACGCGCAACCCCTCGCCCCTCCCCGCTCCCCCATCCCCCGGAAGCGCACGGGGAGAGGCGGCGGGGGTCGCGAGGGGGCGGCGCTCGCGCGCGTTCATGATTGCGATAATGCCAAACACAATATCGCGGGAAATTTTATCGGCCGGCCGAGCGACGGCACGCGTGGCAAACCGTGCGAAAAATAATAATGAGATGTCGACGGAGAACAAGGGAGGACTGCGCAGAGAGCGGATGGCAGAAAATCTGGAGGGTGAAGAGATGGGGCGGGGGTGAAGGAGGGAAGTAAAGCGACAGGGAACAGAGATCGAGAGTGTCACGGAAGACGGAAAGGACGAGGAGGGACAGGTAGGAAATGAGAGAAAAAATGTATATGCGTCGGAAAGAGCGAAGCGCGAAGTGCATTAGAAAGGAAACAGAGGAAGGATATCAAGAGGGCGAAGAAACGGTAGGAGAAGACAAAGGAGAGGAAGAGCGGTGGAAAATGTGCGAAACGTTTAATCGACGTGTAGCAGGCTCTCCCGAGGAATATCCAGCTGAAAGGGAAGCATTGGAAAAGCCTGTCGGCGCGAATCTCTTCTATTTTGAATATAAAGTGGGCGATGAGATTTTTCCCGCCGCGGTAAAAATGTGCGTGGTAGACGAATGTACGGACGGGCCTTGGCGTGCGCGCGCGCGCGCGCGCGGCGGGGAGAAATTTTTTAATAAATTCGCTTTGCGCGAACTATATTTTCTCTGTCAGCTCGTTTAACGTTTTGACGAGCACGCGCGACGGAAAGATTTTTCCACGGCGGATCGACGCGCAATCGAATTTTTTAAGGGCGCGATGAAAGTTGACGGTGTAATCTCTGTGGCGCTTTCGCTCGGTGAATCAAATGAAATTAATCCCATTAGAGAGCTCTCTCTCTCTCTCTCTCTCTCTCTCTGTCTGTCTCTCTCTCCGATGAATAGCTCGCGCGAAAAGCGGTTTCGACGTCGACGAAATTAGTCGCTTGATTTTTAGCCGCTTGATTTTTCGCACGCATCGACGACGCGTCGAGATTCGTTCTCTTGTTCCTTTCTACTAAATTAACTAAATTATACGATGATGTTGGCACGCGCGTATTTTACGATCGTAAAACATTTTGGCGAAGCAAAGTTCAACGAGCATGAAAAATTACTACGCTGCAGTCGGCAATACTTTAGCTACACTCTCGATATTCACCCGGTGGTGGTGCTGATAAAGTGCCTCCGAAATCACTAACGGCCGCAACGAGGCGCGATATTATCTCAGAGGGGAGAAGACGTGGGCGCAGCCTCTCACTGAGGATACAGCGGAATTAGTAGGACCCTTGTTAACGACCTCATTAACCCACGGTTACACGTCCGTAGGAAGAGGAGGAGGAGGAGAAGGAGGATCGGTCGGGTTATAGAAGCCGGGTCTGGCCCAGAAAAGTAAAACAAACAAATGGCCATGGCGCCACCGCGCAGATGAGTCCCGTCATCCAGCGGGTCCGTCGCCGCCGTCGCCGCCGTCGTCTCCCCCAATCTCTTTCAAGTCAGGTTTTTCTGCACCCCCTCCCCCGTTCCCCGGAAACCCTACAATCTTCCTCTTCCTCATCCTCCTTTTTCGGAACCTTAAATTTCATCCTCGGGACTACACACCAAGTGGATCCTCTGTAAACACACACCCCGAGGAGGGACTCCCCCCGCTGGCGCCGTCGGTCGGTTGGGTGACAGGCGATCTGCGGCTTTCCGAAAATTGATTTTTCGACCGGTGAACTTCGGAGTTGAAGTCGCCCGGATCTACGGCAACTTCCCGCGAAACGCCAGCCAGCGGGATCTCTTTCCAAGAGAACGTCGCCGTACCGTTGGCAGATCGCTGCCCGATAAGAGGCAACTTGCGCGGAGGACCGTCGGGAAAATAATAGGACAACACTGTTCCGCAGTGTGATGATGTCCGGGTGCCTCTCGAGGAGGCAGCGAGGCGCGACGTGAATGTGTTGAGTGTAACTTCTAAATCTCTAACTAGACAGGTGATTCTGCCTTTAGCGCGTTATACCATCTCAACGACAATAATTCATGAAAGTAAGAATACAAAAAAAAACACACAATTGCACGTGTATAGTGAATTCATGAAATTAGCTAAGAAGCTTCTGATCATGCTTACTCTAATCCGATTGCAATCCACGTACCTTCGTATTTGTAGAGTGACAATACGTTATACAGTTAAATTAGACGGCTAACGGTGGTATTACAAATGTGTCAGAGAACTTTCTGTTACAATAATCGACAACTAGAGTGACACACGCGGAAAAGTATCATGGGGTGGTATTATAAAGCGCGTACAGTTACATGTCGCGAAAGAGAACCTGTCGACTCGAATAAAGCAAAAAAAAAACGAAAAAAGAAAGAAGAAAGAAGATAACGCGACGGAGCATAAAGAGCCCGGTCTCGCCCAACTGCGAACACAACTGCGACCACACCACGAGCCCGTACAATGCGTGATACGTCGCAACGAGGCTGCGGGACAAGGAACTCCCCATTAGACGCACGTTAAATAATAAAGCCGCCATATTAGGCGCGGGCAACCCGTAGTCCGCACCGAGCAGAGGAGGATTATCCCACAACGATACGTCTCGTTCCTTCCCCCTTTTGCCCGGCAACGTTTCCCGTTGCAACGGGCCTCTCGGACGAGAGCGGGCTCTGCGGCGAGCGCTCGGCGCTCGGATGGCACGGAGTAGGTTTGCACGCGCGCACCGTATTACACAATGGGCAAGCTTACGTTCGATAAAATCGACCTGCTTGCACCGCCGATTTGCACTCTCGCGACGGCGCCAGAGCTCGGCGATTTTTACCGCGATCCGTAAGCCGTTTAGCCCGGGGAGACCGATAAATAATTCCGCCGCGACCCGTCCGCGCGATTCGTCCGCGATCACAATATCGGCGGTATCAATTGATAATCGGCCGGCGCGATATGTGTATACACGCTGTTCGACGCAGATCGGGATGTCACGAAGGAATTGACGTGCATCGACGATATTGTGCGTCGAATGGCGAGAGAATGATATTCTTGGATGCGCGACACGCAAAACCGGGTTATATAGTATAATAAATCTATCGGCAAATGCTAAGACAAGTCCCACTGCTCCAAATAGCGTGAGAAAGAAGAGACAGGGCCGCTTTACTTTTCGAGTAAATTACTTTATAAAGATCTTTATAGATATCAGGTACTATAGCACTAGTACCTGAGAAGACATAGAGTTGGAAGGAAATTTCAAAAATTTAATAAAATTCAAGAGGAACTTTTTTGAAAGAAAAAAATATCCATATATATACGTACAAACTTACGGGAAGATTTTACATCTTCGGGGAGCAACGGCATATCCGGAGTTAAGCGATCTAGAAAGGAAAGAAATATATTAATAAAATCAAATAAACGAATGTGATGAATAACATTTTAGGATAAAACGCTAGTCATTATAATGGATTAAATAAAAGCATTTAAAGCCAAAGTAATTTGACAAACAAATTATGTGAATATGTGTAAGAGTGATGGTAATATGAACGAGGGCTTGAGCGCCAATAGCAGCTGAGAGATCAAATAAACAAAATAAAGAAAACGTAAATGTTTAAATAGCACAGTTGTGACGTGCGGCAGGCTAGAGCAATATATACAAGTAGTTTATTTTGCAGATAAGATCGATGCTCGGCGTACACGAGTCCATTATGTTTGCAGTATTATTATTTCGAAAGATTTCGACGAACGACCCCGTCCCTGCCACGGGGTATTTATAAGGCATTTAACGCGACTTCCTTCATCCTGTTTATCCGTAAAGCGCGCGCGTACGTCGTGAGGAGCAATTATATGCTTCCTTTTAATTTTTTGATAACCCGAACGCGCAATTACGTAGCACACGGCTCGCAGTCGCCGGCGTGAATTGGTTGCGTTATTTAGAGATGCGTTATATTCATTCGCGCTTTCAGGCGACGCGAACCGCGCTTCTAATCCGTCGGTAGGGTCAAGAATGCGCAGTTACATTCCGCCGGTCGTTGCCAGTTTCCCGATGCGACGTAATCGGCTGGATGACAGCGGCGATAATGTGCTGGGACGATAGCGCGCGAAGCCATGTAAAACGCGCGTTCACGTGTACACAGAGAGACGCGCGCCACGGGCGCAGGAACAAGGGTTCGCGACCGCCTCTCCTCGGTTTCCCGGCGGCGATTAATCTACCGGCGTGTAACGATTCCCTCTTGACAGTTCTCATCGCGGAAAGTAATAGCCGCCGCCAGATGAGGAATTCAATGGAAGCACAACCTCGCCCGGTCTCGCCACAATACCCACCCACAGTACCCCCGTCTCTTTCTTTCTCTCACCTTCTCTCTCTCTCTCTCTTTCTCTCCCTCTCTCTCACGCGTCCCGTAAGGCCGACAAATGTTTCCGCTTAGAGCCATGGCGAACCCCGTGCGCCATGTGAAAATCGGTGCTACGGCGAAGAGGAAAAACGCGCGGATACGAATGGAGGAAGGGCAAAGAAGAGCGCTTCGAAAGAAACGCGGCGAGAAAGTAAAATGGCTGCCATGCGACGGAATCATTTGTTCTGGGGAGAAGACCTCCGCGGGTCGGGCAAACAAACGACCCCCGCACGCGATAGATCGATCCGCGTAATCGAGGGTGGGATGGATGATGGAGCGGTGTAATACCCGCGGCCTACCTGTCGTTATCGCGACATTTATCTGTGAAGCTATTCCGCGCCCGATATTCTATTATATCCCCGCGCGAGACCGTAATCCATTATCGGCGAGTCCGTATCCCGGATAGGCATGTGTATACGCCACGACCTTCGGTATCTGTCCATTGCGCGTTTATTAATCGCACCGGGCGCGAGCACCGAGAGATCGTTAAAGACTCGACGGTGTGACACCATTAAAGCGCCGGAGTTGTCCGTCGCTGCTGCTGCTGCTGCTGCTGCTGTTGCTGTTGCTGTTGCTGTTGCTTCAGCTCGGCCACTTTCACGATCGCATTTTATGCATTATGCATCGTTTCATGGGCCTTGACATCTGGCAGTTGCGCACAGACTTTTATTTATATTCTATCTCCAGCGCTATTCACGCAACTAATACTAATACAAAATTAATTGTTGTACGTATATATCGGTAGAAACAATATTGTAAAACGCAATACTTTTGTCTACGCTGCACTTTCGTCTGAGATAAAAGTGCACAAGACTGCGAGAGGTGAATGGGAGGAATTTCAGGCGTCAATTGTCTGTGCAGCAATGTGCAAGACAGAATGAATCAAAGAGAAGAGAGTTGACGAATAATAGCTGCCCACAATGTCCCATTTTATACCGGTATAATCACTCGTCACTACGAGAATCTGCTAACGTGCTATTCCCTGTGGTCATTGTGCCTATTTATAATACATGCATATCCTTTGAAAATATCTTCACTGATTTATGAATTTTTACTCTTTTTCTTTTCATTCTTGTGCACGGGAGACATTTCGAAATTTCTGAAATTTATCAGGGATTATCAGAGCCAACACTAAAAATAAACATCTAATATCGCTACACCTATAGATATTCATGGAACATTATTTTAGGGTTTTTTTGCGATAAACAAAAGTTGCGAATTATAACTGCTTATTTTATAGCCCTCGTTGGCGATAATTAGCGAATTTTGTGCGACTGTCAAGTGAGATTTGGAATTTTCGGAAAACTTCGAAATTTTTATCTATTAGACACGTCACTTTTTACGATAATTATATCAGAAAAATATTTATAGAAATATATATATTAGGAATACGTTAGTTTACATTATGGCTATCCAGCAACGTAGCATCGTCCCTGGATTAAGTTCAACAACCGTTTTAGTTCAGGCTTGCTCGAAACGTCATACCTGATCCTTCGCAGCGTTGCAATTTTCGACACTTCGAATATTGTCGATAAATCTCTACTGAAACGCGACACCGTACTGATGACTCGCGATATAGATCCACCAATATGTAGTTATGACCGTGCAAATAAACTGTACTCTCTAAATATAGAATAAGTGTAACATGCGTGCTTTAAAAAAAAAAAGCCGCGTGGTTGACACACGTAATAAAATATTTTCAATCACATCCGTGTTTGCAAATAGACGCATGCTGAAATAGGAAAAGTGGTGTTTTGCCTATTCGAAATATTGAGAATATTAATTCGTGGTAAAGATAATAAACTTTTTAATAAAATGCGCAACAAAAATAAAAATATATTACAAAGAATAAAATATATAAATTCGTATTGACAATAGGCACAAACACGGTATTATTTGTGCAGAAACCAAGTTGTATGGCAGATACAGAACAGATAATAGCGGAATAGTGACCGTATTAAAATATTCATTCTTTTCGACAACACTGCCAGGTATAAAAACAACATACGTCGAACGTCACGTAGACGGATGGATGACGGATCGTGACGGGAGAAAATACGAGAACATCCCGTGAATTCTGCGAGACCACAGTCGCGGGGTAGGATGGTGTCTTTCGAAAAACTCGTGGTAATCCCGCTTGCCCCGTAATCCGATTTAACCCTGACCAATCACAGACGCCGCGCCGTCGGTTGCCGGTCGTGTAACGGAACGGCCGTCGAGGTAACGTAAACGAGAGCAATCGGAAGGAGTCATCCGCCACGGTGAAACCACGTTTACTTTTTCATTACTAACGAATCGATCAAGAGATTTAACGGTCGTGCTCGTTGCTTGTGGATACATTAAATCCTGGAGCGATTATTCGCACCGAAATGAAGAAGTGTTACACGTTGCTTGATGTTTTTTCAATGTATAATCTGTACAACAGGAGCACGAAAACATATGTTTTAATATACGCCATAGTAAGAAGTTAAATGTTGAATTTTAAAAGCACGAACAATTTGAAAATAATAGAATATAATAATAAATTCCATAACAAATGTATTTTTATGTGAATGAAATCATTACGTAGCTCTCGCAGACACACACACACACCTTAAATTCAAACTTCTTGTAAAAGAGTTTCCGGGTAAACGTTTAAACTACTTTCGGACAATTTTCTTATTTGTGACAGTCGGATCTTTTTATGCACGCGAGTTGGGATACATAAAAAAATTATGAGAATATGGGTTGCGTATATATGGGTTGCAGATTTAAAATGAAATTCGCTGGGCTACATTGAAACGACCAAAGTAGAGTAAAATCAGAATATCTACCGCGAGACTAAAGCTTCTGCGGTGGCTGCGCGTTCGATAAAACGGAGACGCCTTCGGCGCCGTCGCGCGCCCTCGATTCTTCAATACGCTAACTTCTGTCGCCGCTCTGTCTGAGGTATGAGATCTACTCGATTATAAATATAAGGCTTCTCCATGCGGAAGTTGAATGTTATACTTTAGCAATGGCTTAGCCGTGTCACTGTAACAAGACCGAGTTTTGATAGGGTTGAACTCAGGTTTATATTCTATCTGGTCGATACTGCGAAAATTCTAAACTCTTATCTCTGAAGTAATAGAAACACTTAATAAAAAGAGGATTGTTTCTAATTGAATTTTTTATTTTAATGACGAAATATTCTCCGTGAAATAAATCGTTGTACGAAGAATAATTATATCAGATAAAATGTTTGCCAGGCAATAAATATAACGAAGGAGCAAAATCAGCGAAGGAAATCAGTGAACGAAACATCGAAAAATTCGCCCGCGACTGAAGAATGAACTAAAAATAAGCGAAATACGTAAACGTCCTAGTCTGAGAGCGGATGGCTGGCAGCCTATCAATCTTATCCAGCTATCACTCGGGTACCGAGTCCAACGTCGAAAACAGTTCGTCGCGAGATCACAGCAACAGAAGCAACAGCAGCAGTGGCGTCACGGCGGCAGGAACAGCAGCAGCTCATGGGATCATGTCGTTTCGCCCCTCTACGACCGCGAACAGCTACCAACCTCTCCGTCCCACATTTTGCAGGGTACATCGATCGCTCTCTCTCTCCTCGTCTCGCTTCCTTTCCGCCTGTCAGAGAGGGGAAGGCGTGAGAGGTGCCGCGGGCGCAGATGGTGGTGGAAGAAACGTTCGCGGTGGGGATCGCATAACCAGCCCGGCTATACGTGGAAGGGATAATTAACCGACACAACCGTAGCTCCCTATGCTGCCTAACGGAAGGACGAAGAAAGGTTACCATGGCTACGTGGATGGGATCCGGCCAATCCCGGTGTACCTCGTAGGCGTGGTCTGTGCACTGGTCCCCCCCCGATACCGTCTATCACCGTCTCTTTTTCTCGTCCGTACCTCTACGCGAAGATCGGACGGTGGTGGAAGTAGTGAGACAGAGAGGTAGAGGTAGGTCTAGAGCGCCAGCGAGACAGCCCGGTTGCAACGGGCGCGTACAAACGTATCATGCTGGGTAGGGCCGGTGCCGAGATGCCGGCTTGTAAACGAAACCAGTTTGCTATCCGATACGATCCAGGCAACAGCGGCCTCGCGTGATATCCCCACGACGTGGAAGAACGTCAGCGCGCCTGGCCTAGTGGGTGTTACCTGAGCGACCTGGAGAACGGTCGCGCGAACCCACCTGACAGCGATCTTCAATGGGCATCGGAGCTCCTCACAACGCGAGCCTGCTCCAATTCAGACGTTGCCACGTGCCGCTATTCGGGAATTGTTTCGAAATTAATCAGTGACGTGTTGCGACGCGCGCGCGAGAGAAAGGGAGAAAGAGAGAGGGAGGGAGAGAATCGTCAATGTGGGCTTTCAGAATTTAGTACCTGCGGAAACGGAGAGGCGATCGTTCTTCGGGCAATTCTCTCACCTTGTAAGAGATTAATAAAACTTCTCTTTCCAGATGCCATAATACCTGATTCTGTTTGTACTTTCAAACATTAAAGTTTTGTGGTGCCGAATAGTGAAGTGGATATTCATCCAGTGACCGTCACGTCCGTTTTGTAATGAACGAGCGTACCGCGCGTGACTCCGACGAATCATGAGAAGATCCAAGAGCAAGCATAAATCGGAGCCGCGTGTTTCCTGAACCGCGACAGATTCGGGAGGACATCGGTACTCCAAAGAAGACAGGCTGAGCCAAAATTGGCGTATCGCGAGAGGATCACCGTTTCGGGAAGATGTCCGCCGCTGGGACCACACCGCCAAACGCGAACGGTCCGCTCGTACCTTGCCCGTATCTTGCCCTGCCAACCCTATCTTTCTCCGTCAGTCAGGTGGCAACGGTTTGCGAGACCCTGGAAGAGAGCGGCGACATTGAGAGGCTGGCCAGATTCCTATGGAGTCTTCCGGTCGCTCATCCCAATATTCAGGAACTGAACCAGAGTGAGGCTGTTCTCAGAGCGCGTGCCATTGTGGCGTTTCACTCGGGACATTATCGGGAGCTTTACGCTATACTGGAGAGGCACAAGTTCACCAAGGACTCGCACGGTAAATTGCAAGCCATGTGGCTGGAGGCGCATTACCAGGAGGCCGAGAAACTCCGCGGCCGGCCGCTGGGTCCCGTGGACAAGTATCGCGTGAGGAAGAAATTCCCGTTACCGAGGACAATCTGGGACGGCGAACAGAAGACGCATTGCTTCAAAGAGAGAACCAGATCGCTGCTCCGAGAATGGTACCTCCAGGATCCTTATCCGAATCCGGGAAAGAAGAGAGAGCTGGCCGCCGCGACGGGACTCACGCCGACGCAAGTTGGAAATTGGTTCAAGAATAGAAGGCAGAGGGATCGCGCTGCTGCAGCGAAAAACAGGTGTGTCGTAAATCTAACCACATTTCCCCTGCCGTCCTTTCCACGGTGGGGCGGGAAAAAAAACTCAACAAATTGTTGAGAAGATTGATAATCGTCCGGACAACAAAAATCACGCTTCCGTCGCGATCCCGTCGAACAGCTTGTCAAAATCCGAATGATTAAACCCGTTTAAATCGCAAAATCCTCCTTTCGTAAGATAAATAGATCGATACACACGAGTTGTAATGAAGTACGCTTTATATAAATGCGGAACGTTATACGTATTTATCCGGTCTTTAATAGACTAATAGAATATATTTACTTTTCGGGACAATGAAATATTTCGTGCGCGCCGCTCAGTGCCTAGCATTCGCGTATACATTCAAATCTCCTTCAATGTCGTTAAATACGCGTTAAATCAACAAACAGTTCTCGCCAATACTCGTATGTACATACCGGTGCTCTTGCGAGAGCGCCGGTTCATTAATAACAGCGCAAATTATTGAGTTCGCGATACCGAAAGTGTTGGCTAATCATTACGCCGATATAGGTACGATAACCATTTAAAGATGTACGCATGTGAATTTTTAAATGACACATATTCTTATGTGAACAAAGACCACGAGTGGCAGATAATTTTTGTAAAACTGAACCTCTGAAAAAATCTTCCGGAAGAGAGGATGTATCATCGATTTCACTGGTAACACGTGGCCAAACAACAATGAACCCATATGGAAGACATATTTCGATGGTGTAGTTTACTAGAAAATCGTTTGCGTCCTACATCATTCGTTTCGCAATACCGCAACAGAATACCGCAATGTGATACTTTCAGAATTGTTGATACTAATAATTGATTGACGTTAGACTCTGAAAACATTTTGTCGACTATTATTTCTTCCTATCGATGCGGACGCAGCATCGTTTTGTAAAATGTCACGCGAACAGTATACTCCACAAGATGAAAACGAAGAACTTAATTCACGTACGAGAACGTCTTGGAGACCGTCTGCGGTTGGTCACGACATAGAAGGAAAGTTTTGTTCATTAAGTAGCGTTTAATGGAAGTTAATCGCGAAACGATTAGTGGTTTAGGTCCCTTTAGACAGATTGTTGTACTGTGTCCTCGGCAAACGAGCCTTTGTGCCGGCCCCAAGGTCCCCGTTGTGGAGGGTCGCATAATTTCATTTTGACGTCCGACGGAGGGTCGCTGCCGTCGGGCGAACGACGATTTTCGAATTACGTCTTTCAAATTGTGTTTTGACATCGCGCTCTCGCTCTCTCTCTTTCCCTATCCTCCCCCCCC